CGAATCATTTCCTCACTTCCCATATCATATTTCTGCAGTTAAACACCGGTAAAAAATGTAAAAAAATTTTACGAACACCATTCGAACTGTTGGCCTGAAGCTTCGTCACTAATGAGATGCATCCAATCGACACGCACAATACACCCTGGGGCTATACAGTACCGTGTCTTTCTACAAAACTGTTTGTTCTAAAAGCATATACTTGAAGGTAAATAAAATGGAACCCAACTTGATGTTGTCTGGTAGGCCAGAGCTGGAATACTTATGCCTGGATCAGCTTCCTTTCTTTCTTTATTGCCTAGTTGGGAAGAATGAATGGCAGTGTTTGGGAACATACGATAGTGTCCAATTCACATCAAGGACAATTCAAAGCGACTAAAGCTCTGAAAGTGCTGCTCTCTGGGAGCTGATAGTCTCGTCAGTTGACAAAACGAACGTCAAGATCAGCACCACACAAATCACCGGGCAATGTAGTGTTCAAAGTAACTGAAGAATTGCCGGAGAATCAAACTATGAATTAAAACTGGACAAAACTGGCAATATTCAGTGAATCATACATTCAAGATTTCCAAACTCTCCGGATCGAGAGAAAGTATTTTCCCGTCGGCAGTACCACAAGAGAGCTGTCCTTCTAGCAATGATAAGCTCCGCGAGTATGATGTTCTCAGTTGCATTTCGCTCACAGTTTTCCACATACGCTTATCCACACGTACAATCCTGCCATCTGCACCGGACGAATAGAGATAATTGCTGCCAGGCTGCAATTTTTACCTTCAAAATTACGGCTGCTCAAAGTGCAACCTTCCAACAATAATCCTGCTATTGCACTTTGGGCTGTTGGCAGTCGAAATACTTTTGCACCATCGATGCTATGACTGAACCGGCATCATACATACATACATACATACATACATACATACATACATACATACATACATACATACATACATTAAGTTATACATAAGTACATAAATACATACATACATAAATACATACATACATACATACATACATACATACATACATACATA